AATGATCACAAACTAGTGCATGTGTGGGATATGCCTCATATATTGAAAAATGTGAGGAACAATTTATTGTCTAGCAACTTGGAGTTTGGTGAGGGCAAAATAGCCAAATGGCGCCACCTGATAGAATATTTTAAACTACATGAAAGCCTGCATAAAATGTCCCCTTTGACATACAAACATCTAAATCCTCAGGGCAGGGATAAAATGAAAGTTTCCTATGCAGCTCAAGCTCTCAGTCAAACGACTTCAAATGCCATAAAAACTTTTCATGCGCTATCAAATAATTTAGCTCATTGCTTACCCCTTGCAGAGCTTTGTGCTGATGTAGATTTCTACTTTGATTTGTGCAATGGGCCAAGAAATGGCGAAAAGGTGAAGGAAGCAAGAGTAAATGTCACTGAGAATTCCCTGCACCATGTTGAATGGGTTAGAATTGAGAGAAGTCTGCAGCAATGGACCTACATTAGAAAATCTGATGGGAAAAGGCATGTTCCTCCTTGTGTTCAAGGCTGGATGGAAAATGTGAAAAGTTTTCGTGTGTTGTGGTCTAAAGCTAGAACTGCTGGTCTCAAAGTTCTAAAACTTCGTCACCTAAATCAAGACCCTGTTGAAATTTTATTTTCTTTTATCAGTGTTGTGGAAGTGCCACTGATTTGACTGAGCAGACGTTTACGTCTGCTCTAAAGACATCACTGGTTACAAGATTCATTTCGCATAGTGTTCGTGACAAAAATTGTATAGATGATGAATCGTACTTCATTGGTGATCTCAAACAACTAATTCTCGCTTTACCATCATCCCCATCTGCAACAACACCGCCCAATCAAGAAGAATTTTTAATCCGCGGGGATTGTCAAAAGAGCTCCACAAGACTAGATGTAGCTAGTGATTTGGGGAGACAGGGCCCCACTAAAATCTGGGCCTCAATTTTGAACAACTTATCTGATAAAATTAAATGTAAGGGTTGTCTTTTAAAATTAACTACATCAGAAAGAAGTCGTGACACCCTATTTGCCTGCAATGCCATGCCTTCCTTAGAAATGTTTCCTTCTGCTGCACTAGTAACAGTATTTTTAGCTGCTCAAGCCAGCTTTGAATCCCAGTGGAAGAGAATTCTTCACAAACCCCAGGTCCTTGACCATGTGATTGCTGTGTGCAAAACTGATGTCAGTTGGAATCACTTACTCTGTGCAGAGCATGAGAATGGGTCATACCTGAACTTGTTGCTGGAAACAACAGGCCAGCAGTTGATCTCTCAAAAGGTGAAGCAAGTTAATGCAAAGCAGAAAGAAAAGGTGGTGAGGAGAACTCGACAAATTGATGGCAAGGACCAAGATGGCTTGCGAACAAACGAGGAAGCTGCTCAACTCCATCACCATGACCTGCAGTTACTACTTCAAGGCCAGATTTCGACTGAAGGTTGTGTACAAATCATGAACAATTTCTGTGTTTGTATGGTGTGGTTTGGAGTTTATGTCCTGTCACCACCAGGAATGATTTCTTGGTCTCATTGAAATTGCCCATCCATTTTTGTTCTGGCACATAATTCATGTTGTTGATATGTGGCTCATCTGTGGTCTATCTATATGGTTCGTCTTCTGGAGAAATTTAGGTGTTGGAGATTTCTGGTTCCAATGGCACTTTCCAAAGTAGATTTAAAAAAAGTAGTAGTTCAAGTTATAAATGTATTTTCTCGTAGATAAATTATCTGGAGTCTGTCTTTCCATGGTTTCAGGTTTTCAGCATCATCATAGACAATGCAGACTGCTGGTTATGGTCCTTGGAGTTCTCATCTTTAATGTCATACGTGTTTGGGACATTAGATAAGTCATAACATTAATTATTTTGTAGTTAGTCCTCTTAATATACTTGTCACTCTGATTTATTGTTTTTGAACAACTAAATTTACCTTATATCTGATTTTCAAATTCTGTCAAGCTTTCCTTGATGTTTTGGTACTGGTTTTTCAGCTTTGGCTCCTGGTCGAGAATCAACACCTGCTAGAAATACACCATGTAGAGCCCCCCAAGCCATTACTCCTTCCATGGTGACACCAGTTGGAGTCATGGTGACTTCAACACCATCCACAGTCACTCCAGCCAGTGTTACTCATTTAGCATCATTTCAGGTAACTTTATTAAATGTCTTATGAGGAGAAAGAGACATACAGTCTGTCATATACAATTGTCTGTTTGCAGTCAAATACACCTGCTAGAAGAAAAGTTCTGTCAAACTGGCTGCCATCACCTTTGCCTTCTACTCCTGGAGCATCTGGAGGAATAAGCTCCATACAACCAGTATGTACACCAAATTTCTGAAGTTCAGTTATTCTGTCTTATTGATTTGTTGTTCACCACCATTGCACCTATTTGTCTCAGAATTCCAACACTTCTATTCAGGCAGCAGATAAACGGTTTTTTGAACTTGCCAAAAATGGACAGGTGAGTTGTTACATATATATTTTAATCTATAAAATATTTTCTTCAATTGTGCAATTAGAGAACCTTTAATTAATGTTTAGTAACTTTTTTACTTCTTTGCTTTATTTCAGCTGCATGTCTTGAATGTCTCTCAACTGAAAGAATTTTTGAGGTCCAAAAAGCACTTTGCTGGCAAAAAAGATGTGCATATTACTGGGAAGAAGGAAGTACTCATATCCAGAATTATAATTTTTTTTAATTTAGGACAATGATTGTGTAATAGACTATTACGGAATATATTATGTTATTATGGAACATGTTACATATTGTATGTGTTATATATTGTGTGTTATT